GCGTTCTTCCTGATAATCACATGACCTGCATGCATTTTCAATGGAAAATTATTTAAACATTACAGCCTTCATACATCGATTTATTGTTTTTCCCCTTTTTACAATATGTATTGCATAAAGACCCTATAAATATACGTTGCACAATATAAATAAAACTGATTTTAATACGAATTTCAGCAAATAAACATCCTTAATGTGGTATCCCTTGATTAGGAATTTTATGTTAATGTTTACTTTCATTGTCTCATTTAGGAAAACTCCTGAGATAAATAAGTTATATCTCTGAACTTTAGTAATAAACCTATATAAAATTCCGCGCTTCCCACCTCCTTTATTCAGCCGTAATGACTTCTGGGACTTCTCAAGTGAGTCTTGCGCTCAAGTGTGCATCAAGGCGTCCTCGATATTAAAAACACATCCGGGAAATTTCACGCATCCTCCGTTTATTCGATCTTAAATTTTAGAACTGAACTTCGGCAGTTGATGATGACGTTACATGAGAGCACGAGGATGCAAGATCGCTGAAGAACGCATAATAATAAATAGCCAGTGTGTAAGTAGTTAAATTTTGTTACATTTTTACTTTCCTTATGTCACAAACTTTTCTTGACCCGAAAAAAAAAAAAAAAATCCTACAAGATCAACATATATATATATATATATATATATATATATATATATATATATATATATATATATATATATATATATATATATATATATATATATATATATATATATATATATATATATATATATCCACAAATAAAAACTTACAAAGAAAGTCTCAAATAAGCAAATAATTAAATTAGCTAAAATCTAGTGAATTAAGTCTACATTTACTTATTCTAGTAAAGCTATCACCACATTTAGATGATCTTAACTTCAAAGCAAATAAACAAATGACATGCAGTAACTGCCATACACATAAAACAAATGTTTAAAAACTGAACGCTCTTATAATGTGATCCAGTGGTGTGACAAAGGGTTTACCTCATTTCTTATTGTTTGTATGTTTGTTGCACTTTAATTTTTCAGATCATCAAATAAATTTAAATATTAGTCAAAGATAACACAATCCAGATTTGATTTTGAAATAAATGTTTTTAGAATTAAGGAAAACACTTCAATTCAAAAGTACATAGTCCTGTGTGAAAGAGATTGGCCAACACCGCACACAGGGCTTTTTCACATGCGGGCTTCAGTATGTAGTATGAAAAAAACTTCATTTCGAAAACTGCAGGATGTGCTTATTTGTGTTATATTTGACTATTATTTGAATTAGTTTGAAGTTCTAAAACATTAAAGTGTATGTTTGATTAAAGTCTGATAATATTTTTTCCTCTGGAGAAAGTTTCATTTGTTTAATTGCGGCTAGAATAAAAGCAGTTAATATTTTTTAAAACCATTTTAAAGACAAAATTATTAGCCCCTTTAAGCTAATTGTTTTTTCGACTGTCTACAGAACAAACCATCGTTATACATTAACTTGACTATTTACCCTAACCTGCCTAGTTAAAATAATTAACCTAGTTAAGCCTTCAAATGTCCCTTTAAGCTGTATAGAAGTGTCTTGAAAAATCTGTAGTAAAATATTATTTACTGTCATTATGGCAAAGATAAAATAAATCAGTTATTAGAAAAGTTATTAGAATTATTAAAACTATTATTCAATTCAAATCAATTCAGCTTTATTTGTATAGCGCTTTTACAATGTAGATTGTGTCAAAGCAGCTTCACATAAATGGTCATAGTAACTGGAACAGTGTGGTTCAGGTTTTAGTGTTTAAGTTCAGTTCAGTTTAGCTCAGTTCAGCGTGATTTAAAATCATTACTGAGAGTTCAAACACTGAAGAGCAAATTCATCGATGCGTAGCTCTACCAATCCTGAACCATGCAAGCCAGTGGCGACAGCAGAGAGGGAAAAAAAACTTCACCTGATAGGAGTGAAGAAAAAAAACGTGAGAGAACCAGGCTCAGTTGGGCACGACCATTTTAATTTCTCAGCTGGCCAACAGTCTTGTGCAGAGCTTCAGTCACCGCGGTGGAGGCTGGAAGCTGGCCTCAGCGAAGTGTTAAACAGCAATTGAGGAAAAAAGTTAACACGGGGTCTAATAATTAAGGGGGCTAATAATTCTGACTTCAACTGTATATATATATATATATATATATATATATATATATATATATATATATATATATAATTTAAATTAATAAATGAACAGAAATAAGTTAGCTATTTGTTTTTCTGTCATTGTGCATTGATGTCTTCCGTGATCTGCCTGTGTGTTTTTCTTTTATAATCTTTTTTAAACTCGCACCAGTTTTTAGACACAGGTGACTGGGACTTTTTTTAATTCTTTTGCCACTCACTTAGTTGAATTTCCTTCTTGGATGAGTTTTCCACTCATCTTCAGTGGGGGTTGAGACAATGAAGAATGTGAGGTAGCTTGGTGATTTCATATATGATTTCATAAATATTATATATGTTATTAAACTATTAGAATTACAATATTTTATTCAAAACCTACAGAAGATAAAAAATAGTATTTCATAGTTACAAACAATAACAACATGCAAATAAAAAAACATCAACTTTTCAACTCCTTTTTTATTGATATGCGACTCCTGGGGCTATTACGCTAGATTAAAATGAATTAATGACATCTAGATTAATGAGAAATAGTGTTAGTTGCAGTAGACTGACCTTATGGCATAATGTTAAACTTTGACCTCTTTACGGCACTCAAATTAAAAATAAAGCATTAAAAATATGCATTAAAAATAAAGACCACAACTGAACATAGAGGGCTCACCAAGTGGCGGTCTCTAAAATTAAACCAAGAATAGTGTTGTGCTGCAAACATTGTGCCCACTATTCTCATTAAGTGAGTTTAATAATAAATTAAACAATTGAATAATGACAATAAAACATTATATGGTTGTTGGACTGTTGCGCTCATGTTGTCAATAAGCATCTTTATATAGTTCCTATTGGTGTGTTTGTGCACCATTGTGGGCAATGTTTGTATGTTTATAACCACCTAGGAGTATAGTGGGGGGTCACGAGTCACTGGAATTGTTATTTTGGGAGTCGCAAGCTGAAAAGTTAGGGAACTCCTGTTTTAATCGACTGCTGTCTTGTTGGGGTCATATTTTAACAGGTCAACAGCTTGATAAGGTCTTTAAGCACTCTATTTTTACTGCATACCAATTAGCATGTTCAAATATGGGCCAGTATGTGTTTTATGAAATGAAAATTACTAAGCTGATTTCACACTTTTTTTCTTTTTCAATTTTGAATGAGTCCATATTCTTTCACCTAATTCATAAGACAGATATTTTACCATTATTTTTATCAGTTTCTATTAACTTTATTCATTCCTTTTCCTTCAGCTTAGTCTCTTGTTTATCAGAGGTCACCACAAGCGGAATGAAGCAACAACTATTCCAGCATATGTTTTACGTAGCGGATGCCCTTCCAGCCACAAGCCAGTACTGGGAAATACCCATACACTATGGCTAATTTAGTTTATCCAGTTCACCTATAGCTCATGTCTTTGGACTGTGGGGGAAACTGGAGCACCTGGAGGACAAGCTCGTAGAGAACATGCAAAATTCACACAGAACCACCAACTGACCCAGCCGAGGCTCAAACCAGCAACCTTCTTGCTGTAAGGCAACAATGCTAACCACTGAGCCACCATGAAGCCTCACTTAACTTTGTTTGAGTTATTACACAGAAAGCCAGAGTGTTTGGTTGTTCAACAAAAACTGTTTTGTGTCATTTCTGTGATTTGCTGAGCAACTATGGTAATGGAAAAATCCGATCATTCATTTTCCTTCCACTTAGTCTCTATTTCAGAGGTCGCCACAGCGGAATGAACCAACAACTATTCCCGGTAGCTTATGTTTTATGCAATGGATCCCCTTCCAGCTGCAACCCGGCACTGGGAATCACCTATACACTGTTATTCAAAAACTCTCATACACGTCGGCCAATTTAGTTTATCCAATTCACCTATACTGCGTATCTTTGGACTGTGGGGGAAAACCGGAGCACCCGGAGGAAACCCACGCCGACACAGGGAGAACATGCAAACTCCAGAAATGCCAACTGGCCCAGCTGAGACTCAAACCAGCAACTTTCTTGCTGCAAGGCGACACTGCTAACCACTGAGCCATTGTGCCACCTTTTGGGATGAAAAAATGAAAAATATTCAGTGTAAGTGAGGAAAAATATCCAGGGTAATTCCAAATAAGTGTGGCGATTCCATCATTTTTTCCAAAGGGATTTATTATAAATCAAAAAAGCGTCAAAAAATACCAAACAAAAACAGAAAAAGGGACATCTGACACTGCTACCATGGTTTATATTTAAAACAAAAGCATTCACAGCTATGACGTCACTCAGGATTCTCCATTGTAGATCTCCCACCTTTACTTGCAAAAGTGGCTTATTGACATTCTCATTTAAATGGAGGACAGACCGCCAAGGACAATGAACACGGTATGTAAAGAGTTCTTATTTAAAGACTTCGCACAGCTTTCATGGAGAAAGAAAGAGAAAGAGAGAGACAGAGAAAAGGGAGAGAGAGCGAGAAAGAATGCAGTCAGTCAGGAACTGAAAAACTTGCAGTCTTCTATTTTTTTTTCATGTCACATTTAGTCATCGAGATATAAAGAAAAAATAAAGACTTTATTTTATTTAATGATCAATCAATAAGAAAACTTATTAGCAGAAACAATCATTGCAAGGTTATTATCTTACTCTGGCAAGTTTGTATTTAAAATCAATATTCAGAAAGCTTAATAATTAAAAGGCTTAACGTTTAATATATTAATAATTAAACACTAACACTACACTAACCTAATACAATCCTAGAGGGTACAATAGGTTTTAAAAAAGTACATTTATTGATGTGAGATGCATGGAAAATTTGTCAACTATTTAAAAAAAAATGAAGGGGAAATGTTTTGTAGGTGGATCCTCAGACAAGGAAACTGAAATGTTGATCTTCATAAGATTACAGTAAAGAATCAGTTCAGTACTTCAGAGTGGCGTAGCAGTATTTGCATTTTCCCAGATCCAAGGTAAGAGCGTTGAGTGTTTGTTTCTTAAGAATATCTAAATGTATCTGCTAGTACATTTATGAGAACATAGAAATGTTTGTTTTTTGAGATACATACATTTTACTTTCATTTACAATGACCTTTATCAGGACAATGCTTCTGAAAATGAAAACATCATTCTTTTAAACACGTCTGACATATCATTAGTACTCAGTACTCCTTTGTTTTGCACTTGGATGAAACATATAGTTGTTAAACAAGATGTCATGACTGTTTTACAGAAAGATTCTGGATGTCTGAGTGAACAAAAAATAATATTCTGAAGAAATATGCTGTAATTTACCTTGGATGTAAATCATGGCCAGTGGAGGTACAACAAACCACATATTTTACTTAGAAGTTTAGCATAACCTACTAAATGACATGTGATATTAAGATTTTATGGAATACTCCAGTATTTACTATTCATGAATGCACCTGTTTTTTACATTTATGTTTCTTAATAATGAAAATAACTTCCTCTTCCTCATGCAACATACATTTTCTTCACAAATGGCTTATTCAGTTTACTCTTTAATTAAAAGTAGGGCTGCACGATTCTGTCTAAAATGAAAAATCATAATTTGTTTAGCTCAAAATCAAGATCACAATTTTCCTCACGATTCTGTAGATGTAAAATAAAGGTTAATATGAATAGGCTATTGTTATTTCTTAAACATATGATAAAACAACAATAATGATATTATCTATAGGTTGGTTAAAATGCTATATCTTGTATAGACTTGCAATAGTGGAGATGAATGGGCTATAATGTGCTAAATAAAGTGATCAGTATACAACTATTCATAAATCTGAAGTTAAATTATTATGTTTGAGACATATGCTTGCAATCTGTCATTGATGATATTATTAGACCTTTTTTTATTTCATTGGTGAAATGAGACGTGTTTCATTATCAGATTTCCTCTTGCATTGTAGTCAGCATTATATATGCTAGAATAGTTATACTGACACTGTTATGATATACAGAAATACAATATGTGACTCTTTCAACACCGTTTGGAGGTGCTTACATTGCAGACTTTACATTTCTCTCTTGAACTTGAAAAATATGATTGTCAGAATGATAGAAATGCTGGGTTAAGACCATCTAGTGCAGGGGTGGGCAAACTTGGTCCTGGAGAGCCGGTGTCCTGAACAGTTTTGCTCCAACTCAAATCACACACACCTGCTTATAGATTTCAAGTGATCCTAAAGACACTGATTAGCATGTTCAGGTGTGTTTGATTAGTGCTGCAGCTAAACTATGCAGAACACCAGCCTTCCAGGACCAAGTTTGCCCACCCCTGGTCTAGGGGGTCGAATCGAGATAACAATCTGTTTTCGATTAATCGTGCAGCCCCAATTATAAGTATAGATGATAAGATAAACCTGATGTAACTGATTTGGCCTGACAATGACTGCAATTTCTCAATGTCAGGGAAAATATCTATATATCTATTTGGAATCATCATGGCTGTCGTGCTGAACCATGAGTGTGTTGCGGAAGTTCTTGATTTTTCAGACATAAGTCTGGATTTACAGGTATGGAAATTATGTTACGTAAGAGGGAAAATCATAACTTTATTTTCAAAATGATTTCTAATTTGACTTTTTACGAATTACATATTGTTTAAGGCATACATGTTGTCCCCAAAGATGATTGTGTCATGTCTTAAAAGTATAAGAACAAATATATGTAAAATGTATGAAATCAGCTGCATTCTTTCACAGTAAGAACACAGAACAAAGTATCTCTTTCTCTATACGTGTTTCCAGTTCAGCTACTCAGATGGTGCAGCTCATCATATAAGACGGAGAAGCACAGGTCTGATTTGTGTTCTCTTCTAAAATACATTAATAATGAGGGTTTCTGTATGAAGAAAAGGATTAATTATTTACCATATAGGAATAGTTCACCCAAAAATGAAAATTTGCTCACTATTTATTCATCCTCAAATATTTCCAAACCTTTACTATTTTCTTTTTGCGTTGAAAACACAAAAGAACATATCTTACTTGTAAATACTTGTAAATATTGAATTCCATATAGAATAAACAAATACTATGGAAGTCAGTGATTACATTTAACATTGTACAAAATATTTAATTTTTCTTCAACAACAGAAAGAAACTCTTAAACCTGTGTCTGAGTATGTATATATGGAGAGTAAATTTTCATTTTCGGATAATCTCTTTAGAAAGCCATTTGTTTAAAGAGATTGATTATCTATTGCTTATGTTTACACAGTCAGTGTTTAGGACAAGGGTTTACTCATAGGTGTTGAGCCTCAAAATGCCATGTTCACACAGATAAATATAAACGCAGGATGAATACTGTTTGTAAAATGGGCAACTGAAGTCAATTAAGAAAGAATTATTTTAATGATGATCAGCTGTAACTGTAGAGACAGTGAATTGGTGAAGTCTTACCACATGTTTGGTGCATGATTTAATCTCAAAACTTGATTTTTTGATAGAAGTTTTATCTGTATTTATAGATTATACACTGTAAAAATATCTGTAAATATGTTTTCTTTATTTTGTGATTCATGTTTTTTTTCCTTATTCATGCTTTTGAATTGCATTATGGGACCTTAATCATTCCTCCAAAAGCTTTTGATGTTGAAAAGTTTGAAAAAAAAAATTTAATAGTTTGAAGTGATATATCGTCTGGGTTGGTGTAACAAATTACGGTACGAAAACCAGCACTGTAAAACCCAACAGTCAACTTAATCAAATGAAATGAGTGTTGAAGGTAATGAGTAAATTAAATACTGGAAACTTTATTGAAAAATTTTAATTAACAGATATTTTTGCAGAGTGTACTTCTATAAAAATGTGAGTCATTTGAGTTTCGTGCTGACTACAAAATTTTGAGTGGAAAACATTAGCTGTGATTATAAATGGAGAACGCTAATTGGATTCATATTGTATTGTAATTGCCATTTTTACGAGGTGCCTATTAGCAAAATGGTATCAAACAGCAATTAGTTAACTTGAAAGAATTATTTGTTCCATATACACACGTTCACCTTTTAGTGCTTCACTGTATAACACAGTAATTTATTAGAGTCGCTATAATATTTAGTACCTGAATAACTTGTGAAAATGCCCAAAAATGTGCCGCAAAAACAAACTGAAGAACTGGTTGTTAACATAAGGCTCCAAGCACTGAAGATGCTGAAACCCTATCCCTCATAGCATACGTAGAACGCTCTCTATTTGATGTTTTTGGTTAAATCCGAGTTCTACAATAGACCATTTCAATGTGGTCATGTTATTGGCCCGTGATCATTTCCTGCTTGTTAACAAACTATTTCATAACAAGAGGCAATTCAATCATAACTTAATGTTAAAACAGCTATCATAACATTATTTATCAATATGTGGCTCTTTATGGATTCTCGGGAGCTATAGAAATTAAAAATGTAAAACAGGAAATACGTTGGGACCATTGTTTTTGTTTACATCCTTCAAAACGGTCTATACATCAGCAATACATCTATAATGTCCTGTTTAACATTAAATAGACATTTAAAATATGACATTTAGGATATTTAGAATTAGGCTACAGTATTTATGAAATAGACCATTTAAAGATGTCTATAGGATCTTTCCACAAACAAATAATTTTCAAAATACGTCTTGCAGATGTATAGGTGCTATTTTGGATTGTATTAATATCGACTTTATAATTATTATGTATTTTAACAGATGATACATGTCGCCCTGTTGTATGTGCATTTTCTATCTGCCTTTAAACCATTGTAATTACCGTAATAATGTGTCGAGATGACAACACATGACTTGAACTTATTAACATTTTTGGACTTTAAATGTATTTATATTGGTGCTTTTACAAATGCCTCTGTTTCAAAACCTAGGGTGTTTTCACAAATAGCTCTGTTAGTTTAGTGAACACAGTAATTGCTTTCAGATCCACACCAAAAGTGGATGGCAACACTTTAATAGCGTGCTGTGAACAGAAGCAGACCCTGAAGAGATAGTAAACACAACTTTTAGCTTTAACATAAAGATTTACAATATAGAAAACAATTTGCTTTAACATAAAGATTTACAATATAGAAAACAATTTCGGGAGTGACTCTCTCCTGTTCTGTAGCTGTTATACACACCATAAATCAAGTGATTCACTCGCATATTTGAATACATCGTCACTCATGAAACTCGGTGTGTGAGTTTGGTTATACAATAGGGATGCCACTCCCAATTAAGGACTGAAATGTATAGCCATTATTATCTTAAATGTAAATCTGAATGCTGTATTCTGGTGAAAAAATGAATTGATAAAAGTTTCTAAATCAAGTTTTGTTTTAATATGGATAGATCAAGTGCAGTATGTAATGGTAGTGGAAGTAAATGTATCCGACATTGAAGCTCTCAACCAAATCAGAACATCTGTGGCCACCGTTCCACTTCCATTTCAAGCAGACAATAGCACTGAAATTACAGCTGTGAACATTTCGACAGGTTTGTGATCCTTTCTTTCAATTCATTATTTAGCTATACACTCACTGGCCACTTTATTAAGTACACCTTCCTAGTACCAGGCTGGACCCACTTTTGCCTTCAGAACTGCCTTAATTCTCCTTGGCATAGATTCAACAAGGCACTGGAACTATTCCTCAGAGATTTTGGTCCATATTGACATGATAGCATCATGCAGTTGCTGCAAATTTGTTGGCAGCACATCCATAATGTGAATCTCACATTCTTCCACGTCGCAAAGGTGCTCTAATGAATTGAGATCTGGTGATTGTGGAGGCCATTTTAATAGAGTGAACTCACTGTCATGTTCAAGAAACCAGTCTAAGATGATTCAGGCTTCATGACATGGCCTCAGTTTCCTGTTTATAACTGAGGAGTGGCACCTGGTGTGGTCTTCTGCTGCTGTAGCCCATCCGCCATCCTCTGTTGTGCGTTAAAAGATACTCCTCTGCATACCTAGGTTGTAACGTGTTTATTTGAGTTACTTTCTATCATTTGAGTTGTCTTTCTATCATTTCGGACCAGTCAAGCCATTTTCCTCTGACCTCTGGCATCAACAAAGCATTTGCGCCCAAAACTGCCGCTCCCTGGATATTTATCTGTAAATCCTTGAGATGGTTGCCCCAGTAGATCAGCAGTTTATGAAATACTCAGACCAGTCCGTCTAGCACCAACAACCATTCCACGTTCAAAGTCACTTAAATCACCTTTCTTCCTCATTCTGATGCTCGGGTTGAACTGCAGCAAATCGCCATGACCATGTCTGCATGCCTAAACACATTGAGTTGCTGCCATGTGATTGGCTGATAAGAAATTAGCGTTAACAAGCAGTTAGACAGTTGTGCATAATAAAGTGGCCGGTAAGTAAGTAGTGATGCTAATCAAGTTACAAAGATGAGCATATGAATTACTGCTAGCAACAGCTACCTACAATTTTGCATTTTCCCTCTGCTCTCCAGTGTGTTCTTTGAATGAAACGCAGTATCAGTGTAAATGTGAGGGTCTGTTTGTTTGGCCAAATGACACGTGTCATGTATACCAGGCCTGTGATGCCATCTCTAACGGATCATGTACATGTATCAATGACCTTCCAGCTGATGGACAGTTCTGCCAAGGTGCGAAGCTTGCTAATTTGTACAGAAACTATGTATTTCTGTCTGTAATAGCTTGGTTATAATCTTGGTTTTCTTTTTGCAAAGATGTTGATAAATGTCTGGTCAATCCACCTGTCTGTGGTCCAAATTCCAACTGCACAAATACAATGGGAAGTTACAGTTGCTCATGTTTGAGTGGATTCACAGCAACAAACCCAAATCTCACAATCAGCATTGATAACATCTGTACAGGTAGGCTATCTTCTGTATTTAGACTTTTTTATTTTTCCCCTTCCTGTTATTTTAAACTCACGCACACAAAGAATGTTTAAAAAACATGTTTTTTTTTTCTATTTATCAATCTTGATTCCTATTAAAAAGGGCTTTTAAATTTTGTCATCTTCTTGTTTTTGTTATGCTAAATCATTTTTAATTTGATGATTAAACAAAATTGAAAGAATTTATATGTATGCGGGAATTTTAAATCAAGTCATGTCGGTGTTCCTCTAACAGCTCCATCAATAACAACCCCTACACCATCATCGCCAACACAATCAACAACAGCAGGTATTTCCAGTAAAACATTTCTAAAATGTGATTAAGTAAAGATTAGATTACTATTTTTTGAAGCAATGAATGTTTCATATGCGTGTTTTTAATTCAGTAGAACACTGCGTGATATTTGACATGTTATGAACCCTACACAATCTTAACCTTTCGTAACAATTTGTAACTTTTTTAATATAATGGCAAGTACTTATAAATTTGTATGATCTCATTCATGCAGTTTAGTATAATTTGCTCATTCCCAAATGAGGGGTGGGTTTAAGGAATCTTACTTTTTCATACAAATAAAATAAAATCAATTTGTACACCTGTTTTTGACAATACTGATGTTTACATAATTTTTTGGATGTATATTTTGCACTTTACAAGTTTGAAGAAGTTGTGGTGGGTTATTCATGATGTGGTTGGTTTCATTAAAGGTGTTTTTTGGCACTACTTGTTTAGTCTGTCTGCATCAATGCATTCAGTGTAAGCTGCAAGATTAATCATTAAAAGGTTGGGATCTCACGTAATATAAATTATAAATTATGTTGATTTGCATATGTTTATTAATCCTTCAAATCGCTGCATTCAAATCTGAAAAGCAAAAATCAAGAAAGAGATTGAGTGTTTAGTCTTTTGAGTTAGTTATAAAGTTACAAACAGTCAAATAAAAGTTTATGGAAAAGACTGAAATCATGTATGTAACCAATAGGTTAGCAAAATATGCCACTGAATAATTCTTCAAAAATAACCCATCTAACAGTGAAACATTTGATTTATCAATTAATCACTGTATCCTTTATTGAAAACGAGACAAAAATTAACATTAATTGTACAAATTATAATGTTAGATTTATACATTTAGCATTATCAGCAACAGTAGAAACAGTGAATTTTTCACAGTATTGAATATTTTACAGTTTATTTGTATTTAGCTGATTATTTCTTCATGCTATTTTTAATAAAATTACAGGTTCCAAGTTGTGCTTGTTTGTTAAAAGAAAAAGTGTCTTGCCATACTGTTTTGTAATAAATTGAAAGCAAATTATATTTTTTCCTCCCCTTTATGGCTGATCCAAAAAATGGTCCGATCTGTGTCTAAAAAAACATAATATGATCATGAACTGTGAGTTCTGTGATCAGTTACACCACTAATATACAGTATATTAGTAAATTATTAGCCCCCCGTTTCTTTTTTTTCACCAATTTCTGTTTAACGGAGAGAAGATTTTTACAACACATTTCTAATCATAATAGTTTTAATAACTCATCTCTAATAACTGATTTATTTTATCTTTGCCACGATACCTGTAAATAATATTTTACTAGAGATTTTTCAAGACACTTCTATACAGCTTTAAATGAAATTTAAAGGCTTAACTTGGTTATTTAGGTTAACTGGACAGGTTAGGGTAATTAGGCAAATGATTTTACAACAGTGGTTTGTTCTGAAGACAGTCTGAAAAAAATTTGTTTAGAGGGGCTAATAATTTTGACCTTAAAATGGTTAATAAAATATTAAAAGCTGCTTTTATTCTAGCCGAAATAAAACAAATATGACTTTGTCCAGAAGAAAAAAAGACATACTGTGAAAATTTCCTTGCTCTGTTAAACATCATTGGGGAAATGGAGGGCTGATAATTCTCACTTCAACTGTGTATGTATGTATAGGTGGGGTGAAGGGATGGTCGAAGTGAAGAGCAGGAAAAGTTGCATGCGAACTGAAGAGGGGGAGCGGGTATGAAGATGGTTGCGCATTGGGTTTAGTGCTAAGGGGTGGTTCAAAGCTGAGGAGGGGGGGTTGGAATTCTGGGAGTTTTCTGGGAGACACAACAATACGGTAGTGTTGGCAGGTATGGACATGGTATGGAGGATTTTTATAGTCCTGTTAAATACAAGCCTACACAAAAAACCTAGAAAGGGTTTCACTAATTTGGTTAAAAAAAAAAGTTTCATGGCAAGGTTGACATTAGAATTGAATTCCTTATTATGCTTTTTTTATTTTTTATTTTTTGGATATATTTGGATTACAAACTCCTATATTGTATTGGCGATCAATTAATCAATCAATCAATTAATCAAACTTTATTTATATAGCACCTTATTTCAACCAGGAGGACGCATAAAGTGCTTTACAGTATTAAAAACAAAGTTAAACATTACAACACACAAGATGGTAATGACGGCTCTCTGGTCAGGTATATATCTGCGCTAAAATATCCAAGTGAAAGTCATCATAGCCTGCGTAGAACAGATCCAGCTCCCAACCCAACTTTGAGAATAGATTAACGGCAATATTTTATTTATGGGGTGATAAGTCTCGTGTTAACGAAGCATGATAATGCCGATAATGCCCTACCACTAGATTTAAGTTTAGCTGTAAACGGTGCCACATCTGTGATGATGCAAAGTTCTAAAGGGAGGACATTCCACAGTTTTGGACCTGCCACTGCAAATGAACAATCACACCATTGTTCATAACTGGATCTGGGGACCTCCAGCAACAACTGACCTGCTGATCGTAGAGCCCTGTTCGGTTTATAAACCTTTAAAATCTCACATAAATATGAAAGTGCTAGACCTTTAGTCTGATGGAGCCAACAACATTAGTTGAAAATCAATTCCGAATTTAACAGGGAGCCGGTGAGAGTAAAGGACAGGGGTGATGTGCTCAAGTTTGCAACTATTGGTCAGCATGCGAGCAGCAGCATTTTGCACCAGTTGCACAACTAACCCTAACCCTAACCAATAAAGTAAGGTTTGGTTAATTCCAACATAAAGTGCATTGCAATATTCCAGACAAGAGCTGATAAAAGCATGAATGGCTTTCTCTAGATCACGCTGAATCAAAAATGGCTTGACTTTGGCAAGAAGGGGAAGCTGGTAAAAGCTTGCCTTGATCACTGAATTTATCTGTTTATCAAATTTTAAACTACTGTCCATATTCACTATATGTTTAATTGCATAGCTAAGGTGTGGGGATGTAAACAGAGAAGCAAGAGAAGCAATATTTCAGTTTCTCTGTATGTCTGCACATATGGTGTCATTGGTTAATAACAAAGAAAACAGTAAAACCTCGATGATGATAATAGTTTATAGACAATTTGCAATTATGGTGTTTTGGAGATGTTTTTTTTTTACCATTGTAAGCATAATTATATTTCTTTTTGTTCCTGCAGGGCCACTTTTTGTGTATGAGAGTGAAATTGATATCAGTTTATTTGATATTTCCTCGGCGAACAGATTAGAGAGTCTCATCACATCATATCAACCACCTTATTCTTTGGGCAGCATGAATATCCTTGAACTCAACATTACTACTGGTAAGAGCAAACAGCAAACAGAGAATGTTCTTCTAATGTTCCAATATGGTTCCTTTCAGTTGATTTTTTTGGGAAACAATATAGGAAGTTTCTAGGAGATTCTTTTGTAATGCAAAGATAACCTTGCAAGAACATTGCAGAAAAAATTGCTTCTTAGAAATATCCAAGAAACTGTTTATATAGAAATTTTCCTAGCATGTTATTTTAAGGTTTTATTTTTGTTACCATGTCTAAAATATATGTAACTAACTATATAAACCTAATAAGCTACTTAAATGTATCTACTTCAACATTAGGTAATTTAGTGAAATTAAAATGTAATATATATTATTATATATAATTATATAATTATATATATATATATATATATATATATATATATATATAATTATATAACATTATATATATATATATATATATATATATATATATATATATATAATTTTATATTTTACATAAAATATATTTTACATATATTTTACATAAAAATTTTTTACATTTATTTTATATAAAAAATATATATTTTATGTTATATATGTTATTTTAAGTTATATATATATATATAAACTTTTTGTAACTCTATGGTCTGTAACTGGCTGCATAAACATATTTACTGTTAAGACCAAAACCTGAATAATAAGATTAAGACAACAAGACACGTCAGATTCCAATGACCGTATCACATTCTGTCAACTGAGATCATAGATGCTCCACTGCCTCTAATACAGTATCCTATACAATTCAGTGCTAATTAAGGTAAAAACCATAAATAAATAAAGATGGCATCTGAAAGTTGCGCTTTGTGTTCATTTTTTTAGAATATGTATAAGTGTTTGACCAACATTATCAACTGTTGAAGTCATTTGTTGCTAGATTTGTAGAAATTAAATAGTCGCCAAGATGTCACTATCAGATGCAGTCTTATAGAAACTCACATGATGAACTTGTCAGACTAGTTTAAGCAAATGCATGTAGAATAGCTTAACTGCGTCATCTTGGGACTCAACGTGACGTCTGTCTTTGTTAATTAAAAATAGTTTGGAGTAACTTTTGGTTTTCACTTTCTGGGAAGCGCAAATCTAAATTGTTGGATAGTTGCCTAAAACCTAGTTGTCTCAAGCAAGAAAACTGATCTCACTTTATAATAGGTGCCCTTAACTACTATGTACTTGCATAAAAATAAATAAATAAATAATAAAAATACAATGTACAGTTATGGTCAATAGTGTAATTACAAATGTAACAACAGAAATTAATTACTAATGTAAATACATGCAGTATTTAAATCAATCATAAGTACAGTGTAAAAATATGCATTTTTCACAGTAAGTTCATTAATTTCATTAATTTAAGGCCACCTAATATAAAGTTGGACCAGAACACTTTGATATAGGGGGAACAACACACTAGGAAAAGAAACAAAGCATAGGATGAAAAAGAACTTAAAGGGGTGCTCCAGAGTGTATTTTTTAAGGCTTGGTTGTGTTTATAAGATGCAAAGCAATGTGTGCTCATGCTTCAATTGTAGAAAATCAAGTAATTTTTTCATATATCTTACTTTGATTATATAGAGCTACTCGGATAACAAGAATAAAAACCTGTCATATTTCCTAGTTCCTCCAAAATTCCTGTCCTTAAGAGGCTTTGAATGGTCAGCTGACATAATCTGCTATGATTTGCAGATTGGCTCCATGTCACCAGGAAAAGCGTCACACCTTTAATAGCATGCACTGTGCCACTGCTCTATAAATTCAGTCAGTCAGTTTAGCTGCTAGCCGTATAAGTTTGAGTAAGACAGAAAATGAAGAGGACACAGTTGAACCTCACACCTGCTCTCTAAAATAAAATCTGACAGGTGTCTTTCACGTATATTCGGATTAAGCATGCAAGTAATATGAAACCTTCACATATCTTTTGCGAGTTTGTTATTTGAGATGTAGAGCACAGGGAAAGCGTCCACATAGAGAGACACTGCAGCGCTGGTGAAGATTGTGGGTGTTTAAAGCGGTTTGACTTATAAATTTATAGCTAAATTGTTAACTGTGCCAAACAGCTTTTCCTGTTATTTGTTGTACATCCTTGTTTGAGTCCATGCTACAACATACTGTTAACGCTGGTCACTATGGATAATAGATCAATTTTCTCAAATTAAAATACTTACAGGTTGTGACTTACAATTGGGCATGAGATGATAAGTTTTCAAGGTATACCGCAGTTTTAAAGTCAAGGTTTAAAAACAGCAAAATTTTCTGCTATACCTTTTCTTAGGTATGTGTTCGATTTTTTTTATTTATGTTTTTTAACAACAAAAGTATCTCCAGCAGAAAATATCTCCAAAGATATTGTTTTAAATTAATTTAATCTGTGTTTTTGAAACAAATGAAAACAGCAGAAGTCAAAAATTCATTTTAATAATTTAGCCTGACATGTTTACAGCTCCAAAATATTTAACATGTTTCTTAAATGAAATATATTGTTCAAAGGGGTAAAAAGTTTTTTATTTTTTACCCAAACACTTGAAAAGAATATATTTTAAAGCAGTAATCAAAATACTGTGAAATCGTGGTACTCTTATCCCAGGTATTATAACATCAGAATCTTATACTGTCCCATGCCTACTCACAATCCACAGCTTCGTCTGTTATGGTTGGAGCTGCTCCTTCTTTGAGGAGTTTTTAGCTGAATCCAGCACTGAACTGGGAGAGATTCTGAAAGCTTTCCTTTGTCAAATGATAGCTCTATATGTTTTTTTAATTCTCTGGAACATGATTAAAATAAATTGTAAGCACTTCTCTCTTTGTGTCGTGTCCATTGGAATATATATATATATATATATATATATATATATATATATATATATATATATATATATACAGTCCATTAAAAAAATTCCCAAAATGTACAAATATATATAAGCTAAGCTTAGCTAACTCTGTAAAAACCAGTGTCTCCCTTTTCAGTGAACTTCAAGTATATTACATTCAGAGATGTTGTTTATGTTCATACAGCTACATTACATCAACTAAAGTATCAAATTTGATATCGTAGTGGACCACTGCTTTAATTTATATTTTTACTTTTTTTATTTTTTAAATATTTTTTAATTTTAATTTTTGATGTATTGATTTTGCTTTATAATAATTATTTTTTATAATAATTTGAATGTACAGTTTAATCAAAAATGTTTCAACTTAATCTTACATCATTCTTTTTACAGTGTGTGGATTGAATGGAACTGAATATGATTGTCAGTGTGCAGCGAATCATGTTTGGTCCAGTAACAACTGCACGACCTATCAGGCATGTGATAATATTGTCGGAGGTACTTGTGGATGCATTCGGGCTCTTCCTTCAGCGGGGCCGCTTTGCCAGAGAGGTGATTTTTGGAATTTGTATGCTAAACATTTTTGGGTATTGACATTGTAATTCTTTGAATAGTTTTAAATGGCCAGGTCTTTTTGAAAAAAAATTGCTGTTGCCTATTCAGATATAAATGAATGTCAGCCGAGTCCATCTGTCTGTGGTCCGAATTCCTCCTGCACCAATGAAATAGGAAGTTACAGTTGCGCATGTTTGAATGGATTCACTCCAACAATTTTCAATCTGTCAGTCAGCATGAATAACACATGTAGAGGTATGTATTATTTGTTTATATGATTTGGCAGCACAGTGGTGGAGTGGGTAGCACAATCACCTCATAGCAAGAAGGTTGCTGGTTCGAGTCAGTTGGCGATTTTTTTGCGGTTTGCCTGTTCTCCCCTTGTTTGCGTGGGTTTCCTCCAGGTGCTCCGGTTTCCCCCACAAATCCAAAAATGTTATATGGGTGAATTGGGTAAGCTAAATTGTCCGTAGTGTGTGTGTGTGTGTGTGTGTGTGAATGAGTGTGTATGGGTGTTTCCCAGTGATTGGTTGCAGCTGGAAGGGCATCCACTGTGTAAAACATATGGTATAAGTTGGTGGTTCATTCCGCTGTGGCGACCCCAGATTAATAAAGGGACTAAGCCAAAAAGAAAATGAATGAATGATAGGATACTTTATTTTTAGCTTCAAAATTTCATTTTTGTCAATTTGTCTGAATTATTATTAAGAATTTAAAAGGTTTTTAAAATATATAGCTACAAGAGGGTATGGAATTTTATTTTTTGTCATGCCACTTTTCTTTCATCAGAATCACTAACATCACCAACAACAACACCCGCAACAACACCAACATCAACACTCACAACAACACCAACAACAAGACCATTATCATCGTCAACAACAGGTATGCCCAGTAAAACAAAATCTGACACGTCACAACAACTGTATGTAGAGTGAAAATTCATTTTTTAAATTCTTTTCTTTAGAGCATTTCTTGTTTTTTAATGCTAATTAAAAGGAATCCCAGCAAACAATTTTGGTTTAATAGATGTCTAATAGACGTACGACAGCTTGGCTAAAACAATGCTAAAACAATCACTAGGCTGTCAGTGAAAATCTAATAGACATCTAAGAGTAGCCCAAAACTAGACTAGTTGTCAAATAGACAGATTAGATAGACTTTATATGTGTAGTCATTAATTTTTGTTTATTTGATGACTAGTCTAGTTTTGGTCTAGTCTTAGACGTCCATTAGATTTTCACTAACAGCCCAAATTTAGCCTTGTTTTAGCCAAGACGACTATGTTTGGACGTCTGTTAGACATCTATTAGACAACTTTTAAAAACAAAAAAGCTTGCTGGGATATTACATACAGCAGTTTTATGTTTTAGTATTATATTATGATTCATAATTTCATAGATTTAGCAGATGAAAGATGTAAAGATTGTGCTTCTTAAATGTTTTTCTGTTCAATTTCTTCCAGTGCCACTTTTTGTGTATGACAGTGAAATTGAAATAGACTTGTTTTTCGATTACCCGACAAGCAGCATACGTGATCTCTTCACAACAGTCAATAGCTTCCTGCCTTACACTCTGAACAACGTAAATCTCCTTTCTGTTGACATGACGACTGGTAAGAACAAGGAACTATAGGAATGTTTCCATATGATTCATGTTTATGCTTTGAGACATTCTAGGAAGCTTTATTTCTTTTTGCAATATAAACCTATCCTATCAAGAACATTGCAAAGAAGTGTTGTTTTGTAACAACATACAGAAAACTTTCGAAGAAGGTTTCATGCTGGATGGTTTGAGTTTTTACTTGTTTAACTATAGCTAGTGAAAATAAGACTTTTACTGATTTAGAGTAGGTGGCTTTTGGGGCTTACTGTTCCTACCACAAGTGTTATAGATAAATTGCACCATCTTGTGACAACATGACAGGCATGACATTAAAGAAAATACTGTAGTCTTGAATATCTTTCATTGTGAATAACTTTCAACTTTCATTGCTAACTAAGAATCTGAAGTCTTTATTTAACAAAAAAACAAAAAAACATTACTCATAGAAACAACAAAATGGCATAAGAAACAAAGCGATGGAAGAGAAGGATCTTAAAATAGAGGAACAAATGTAACATAGTTAGCCAGATAATAATGTTGTAAAGATAATAGTGTTATACTGTTGCTATTTTCTACATTGAAATTGATTAGAGGAATATTTCAAATGCAATTATATTTTTATAAAAAATATATTTACATTTTTATTTTAACCATTTATGTATTACTGTACTGTCATGCCATTCTGTTACAGTGTGTGATTTGAATGGAACAGACTTTGATTGCAAGTGTGAAGTGGCTCATGTTTGGCCCAGTAACACCTGCAAGGCCTATCAGGTGTGTGATAATATTGTAGGAGGCACTTGTGGATGTATTCAGGCTCTGCCTTCAAATGGAACACTTTGCCAACAAGGTGATTTATTGAATTTGCGTGTTTGTGTGATGTTATTATATTATATTATATTATATTATATTATATTATATTATATTATATAAATAATTGTTTATCATTTTATATTGTTATGAAATGTTAGATATTTATTATTCTATTATTCTTATTTTTAATATTTTTCTCACTTTCCAGATATAAACGAGTGTCAGCAGACTCCATCTGTCTGTGGTCCAAATTCCACCTGCACCAATGTAATAGGAAGTTACTATTGCTTATGTTTGCCTGGATTCATCCCAGCAAACCCAAATCTATTAGCCAGCATCAATAACACATGTATAGGTATGTTAGGTATTTAGATTTGTGTAACTCGTTAGCTTAAATAATTAGATAAAATAAATTACAAATAAATAATTTGTCATGTATCGTTTTGAACATTCCTATTGTGATTTGTCACTGTCATTGACAAGATTAAAAAAAAAGTTTACTTTAGGCATAAGAAATTTAAATTATAATTTTTAAACCAAGTTTCTTTTTTTCCTGACAGCAACAGCTCCATTAACACCAACTCCATCAACTCCAACAACAAAAGGTATGCCCAGTAAAACAACAAACAGGACACATGTATGTGATGAGGATATGGAATATTAGCTCATTCATTCATTTATCATGTTTTTTAGTATTAATTGTTCCTAATGCTGATTTCAAATAACATTGAAACATGTTAATTTAATAAATGAGATGCTATGGAGTTCTGTTGTACATTCAAGATTACTGTTTTAATATAGTAAGGTTCTCAGACGTTCTTTTGTTTGTTTTCCTTCAGCACCAGTTTTTGTGTATGAAAGTGACATTGAAATAGATTTGTTTAGCGATTACCCGATGAGCAGCTTAAGGAATCTCCTCACAGGAATCCCACTGCCTTACACTCTGAGCATCATAAATCTCTTATCTGTTAACATAACGACAGGTAAGAGCAAACACAACACAGAACATTCTTTAACATCCCCACATGGTTCCTTTTATTTATTTATTTATTTATTTATTTATTTATTTAAAAAAGCTAACCTTTCTACAATTATTGGTTTAAATAATTTTTATAATTAGAAACATTTACAAACATTCAGTGGTAAATAAAACATAAAACTTACATTTTAACAATTAGATGTTCAAAAAAACTGAAGAAGAAAAAAACAACAGTCGTAAAATGATAACAAAACAAAAATTAAACATAATCTTCCCCAACCAACCACCCCCCAACCTTACAACAACTATGCAGGGAGGTATGCAACACAGGTACATTGGAAAAACATGCTTTTACATTTTTGTGAAAAATGAACTTAACATAAACTTGACAATTGTTTCTAGGAAAAATTAATGCTATGGGGCAGTACGACACTAACGAATGTTGTTCCTTTCAACACTAATATTATTTACCGTAACATAACATCAATGAATAAATGGTTGTGTTTACGCAGTTCCAAATAAATACCACAACACAATGTACCAGTGTCTTTTAATGGCAATCAAATAGGAATGCAAATAGTAGCTCACTTTGTATGGGGTTGTACTTTCGGTGCAGAGTGCACCGGTGAAGTACGGTTCTACAAAAGAGATATAGAGCGCTGTAAAATCAAAGTAAAATTGTTGCAGTGCACTTTTTCTTACTTTTGCTTCTGAAAACTGTATTGATTGGGGTCAGGTCAGTGGCTTGCTGTGATCTGAATAAACAAGCACTGCCTTCTTGTGGACGTGTACAAGAAGGACATGTATCTGAACCCCGAAACAAAACATAACCCAAGTAACGTTTAACTAATTCCAGGGTGTCAGCGGGGTCTTAAAGAGTCTTAAATTTCAAACTCTATGTTCTATATTTTAGGACTTAAAGAGTCTTAAATTCGCTGAAAAATATTGTGTTGTGGGTCTTAAATCACTTTAAAAAGGTCTTAATTCCTATGTCCAAGTAAAGCTACCCAATCAGGGGTGTGTTTCCCAAACAACGACGTAACTCGCAGCTTATCATAGTACAATTTTTTTGGAAAAGAACGATGTAGAGATGAGTGTTTCTCAAAACCTCTAGCTCCTCTGTTGCAGATCCAAATTTGAACCACTTTAGTTATAACGTAAAACGCCCATATTGATTCTCTATCAGGGTGGTCACAACTTCTTTAGAGAAGAACCCCAAAATTTCTTTTTGCAAATACTGTTTTATTAGCACATGCATTTAAAAACGATCCAATATTAGTTTTGGTTAAAAATGAACTTGTTTTTCATATTAGTTCAAACATATGTAAATGGCATATAGGGTCTATGCTTGTTTTACAAATATTGTTGAGAACATTACATATTTTATCTAAAACATAAAACCACTTAGCTAACACATAGTCTAATATCAAATATAAATCATATAAATAAATAAAATAAATTTATTATTTATTGGGAAATGAAAAAATCCTACTTTAATAACAATATTAATGATTTTGATAATGATGATGATTATTATTATTGTTGTTATTATTATTATTATTATTATTATTATTATTATTAATAATAATAATAATAATAATAATAATAATAATAATAATAATAATAACAACAAGTAGGATGTTGTTTATTTATTTATTTATTTATTTTTTTTTTGGAAAAGTCTACTTTTACAATTTGACACATGCAAACAATGTTCTTCATTGTAAACATGATGTAAGTTAAAACTGTAAAAATACTTTAAAATGCAAATTACACCTAAGAGAGATGACGTTAATGCTTTTTAAAAAAAAAAAATAATTATAAAAGTTTAAATGTTAGAATGTTTGAAACAAATAGGGCATAGGGGGGATAACTGGGAATAGAACACAGCCAGGAATGTTTCTAACAACAAACTATGTTTGTAATGATGGAACTTGCAACCTTAGTTGGCTAAAAATAGTTTTTGAAAACACACCCCAGGCTAACAACCAATTGCCAATAATCCACTTCAAAGCTTTTTTTATATTTCAGTTTTTTATAGCAAAGAGATACAGTTCATAACAGCCGTTAGACATTTTACAGCAAATTCTCCAAATTAAATACCTTAATCAGGGAAAGAACACATCCCTTTACATGATCTTTTATCAATATATGAACTATTTACGGAAGTATTAGGACCATTAGAAAAAACATTAGTGTTTAACCCTGTATAAGTCTAAAATTTAAATCTTATGAGTCTTAAAGGGTCTTACATTTAACTTGAAGAAACCTTCAGAAACCCTGTAACTCATTAAATGTAGACAGTGGCCTCTGGTGGATTTTCCATCAAAAGAAAACAATGAAAAGTTTTGCAAAAATGTAGATTGAAATATAAACTGTATTTCCTGAGTCTGGGCTGCCATGTCTGGAGTAAAAAATGTACATTTTCTAAAAAATAATAGAATTAGACAACCTTTCAGAAATTACATTTGCCTCAATGACAGTATTTAGAAAGCTAAAAATGCTGTCTTGTATAGGCAGTATATGAACTTCTGCTGAACAACACAAGGTCACAATCTGTATCACTAGCTACTGCATGTTTCCATCCAATCAAATTTATACGCATAACTGGAATATTGCATAAAGGACGAGCGAATAAAGCAGTGTTTCCTATCCAATTAAATAAAGGGAACAAAACTGTCACTTCCTGATTAACTGGCGCCAAATATCAACAATAAAAAAATTGCTGCGGTAGAAGCGGCGTGATTTTTTTCTTTATTTAATAAATGACTTGCGCCTCAGAAGACAGTCCTGATGTGCAATGAACACATGGTGGCATTCATCAAAGGTGGTGCACAGATGTTCTTGACAGTTATGGAGATCATTAGTAATATAATAACACTAATACTGGCATTTTAGAATAACCAAAACAACATTTCAGATGTTTTACAGTGTGATCAGCCTGTTGGTTTGTCTATTCACACACATTTTCATCATCACATGATCTTATATAACAAAACCACATGACCTTTTTAATGCATATACTTGGAATTTGTTTGGTAAAAGTGTTTCCATCGTACATTTTGCACATCTTTTCTTATCGAATAAAACGTTTATCCTACTCAGTTATGCACATACATTTTTATGCGCATTTTAAAAAATGTTTAAATGCGCATCTTGGTGTTTGCAAATCTTAAATTTTTATTTATATATATTTTATTTATATGTATATTGTAACCATTAATGTATTACTGTACTGTCTTGCCATTCTGTTACAGTGTGTGATTTGAATGGAACAGGCTTTGATTGCAAATGTGAGGCGAATCATGTTTGGCCCAGTAGCACCTGCACGACCTATCAGGTGTGTGATAGCATTGTAGGAGGCACTTGTGGATGCATTCAAACTCTCCCTTCAAACGGGTCACTTTGCCAGCAAGGTAATTCATAGAATGTTAACATTTTTGTGATGTTGTTGACACAACTGGTAAAACAAAATCATACAACAAAGTATAAAGAAAGTTTTCCAAATAATGACCCACTTTGTTGACTCACCTTTCCTATTCAGATATAAATGAGTGTCAGCCAAGCCCTTCTGTCTGTGGTCCAAATTCCATCTGCAACAATGAAATAGGAAGTTATAGTTGCTCATGTTTGAATGGATTCACTCCGGCAAATTCAAATCTCTTAGTCAGCAGTAATAACAAATGTACAGGTATGTTCTGTATTTAGTAAATTACTACATCAGATACTTTTTTATAGAGCATTAAATGCTGATTTGTCAGCCTTTTAACCTGAATACATACTTTAAATGTAGAATCTTGCAACCAAGCCATGCTATTTTTCTTCACATGTACCACCACTTTAACATCATCAACAAAATAACTGTCAACAGCACCAACAACAACACCACAACCATCACCACAACCATCACCACAACCATCAACACAACCAACACCCCAAACAACACCCCAAACAACAACACCACCACAGCCTACGCCAACAACACCACAGCCAACAACAACAACAACAACACCAGAGCCAACAACAGCAACAACAACAACACCACAGCCAACAACAACAACACAGCCAACAACAACGACAACAACGACAACAACGACAACAACAACGACAACAACGACAACAGTTGCAACAAAAGGTATAACCAATAATATCCAAGCTATATCTGAGAATCTAATGCTGATGATGAAGAATAATATTAGGTATTTGTGTTGCTTAAACCTTTCATGATTCAATGCATGCCTAAGAATGTTCACAGGTGTTTCATTAGAGACAATGCCTTTTTATATGACACCGAGGGGCTCTATTTTGACAATCCATGTGCAAAGTCTAAAGAACAGGGCGCAAAAGCAATAAGGGTGTGTCGGAATCCACTTTTGCTATTTTAGTAACGGTTTGCGCCGTGGCGCATGGTCTGAAAGGGTTAAGCTTATTTTCTTAATAAGTTATAGGTGTGTTTTGAGAATAAACCAATCAGAGTCTCATGTCCCATTGCCTTTAAGAGTCAGTTGCATCGCTCCATAGTGCATTAGCTATTTACATGACGGATTTCGTAAGTGTAAAAACTGAGCGTTTCACTATCAAGAAAACAGTTAAACAGAGCATCTGCAGCGCCAGAATGATAGATGAGCCTCCTCATCATTTACTTTCACTCTCGTGGATAGGGAAACGTGTTGTACGCACAGACGTCAATTAGCCTTTAAATAATTAATTTCCTTTAAGCGCAAAGATTAGTTTCAAAACTATTTCTAACTATTTCTAGAAAATATGTTTTGTAATATTTTAATCCTTTATATTTATTTCCTACATATATCCTTATTATATCATATATATATATATATATATATATATATTTATAATTTTAGTTCTTTATCATATGTAAAGATATTTTTGTAATGCTGTACATCCTATCCGTATTAAGCAATGTGTGAGCAAGGCGCACAACCAACGCGCTCTGCGCTGGACTTTAGACTGGCTTTGTTCTGGTCTATTGCACATCTATTATAGTTTCTCAAAATAACAACGCTCCAGCAATGCGCCTCAACATGCCTTCTTTTATAGACCAAATGCCTATGGGCGCACATATGAGCGAAAATGCATTTGCTATTTAAACAGTGTGGCGCAAAAACGTCAAAACGACTCTTGCACCGATCTGAAACTAACAAACAACAATTGTGTTGCGTCTTGCACCGCATGTATGATAGGGCCCCAAGTCTGTTAATTAACATGGGTTGTAAAGATAAACAGACCCAGTAATTGACACAGTAAATTGTTACTTTTTCCATAGAAAAGCCAAGTATAGATCCATAAACATTTTAGCCCCGTAACTGTCACACCAGTTTTGAAATTCACACTTGAAAATTCAAGTTGATATATTATACATAGTTTGTCAAGACAAGTTTAAGTTTTGGAAAAAAAAATTTTTTTTTTTTGAGAGATATACAAAAAACAAGGGCTGGGCGATAAAATCGTTATCAAAATTTACTGACCGAACACCATTGACAATATCGCTAAAAAAGATTTGGTATGTAGTTTTAGTATGAAGTGAGCGCGATGTGGCTGCTAAGCGCGTGCCTTGGAAGCAGTGAAAACAAGCTAATCGTGTCAGTTTGCCATTTCCAATGGAGGCACACGACTTGCACCATAGAGATTTACACCTACACTATTTTGTTCTATTGGAGGGAATGCATCAATAGAGCTGCCATTTTAGTACAGGATAGAGCTCCTTTGAAATGTATGTGGGCCCAAGGTGCAGTGCAGCACTGGCCATTCAGAGCCAAATATATATACATATATCTATGATCCGAGTTTTCCTGGTGGCCAGTATGCAATTTTTTTTTTATATTACGAAAATTATAATTTAATACCATAATAACAGTAAGAGCATTTGTTTGTGTGCATGGAAATGTATTATCCTCCCTACTTGTTACATTTGATCTAATTCAATTGTGAATGAATCCTCGTTGTGAGGGTCTTGTTCACTTAGCCGACAATAATACATCACTGCTGTATCTTGTTGTCATATTTCATTTACATTGTTTGCTGATTTTATTCAACAAAACTAGCATAAGCCCAGTATTTAGTGCTAGTTGGTGCTACTTTGTCTTGTCAGAGCAGTAAGAGATTGTTATATAATTAATACTTGTTTAGCACGAAAGTTTGTAACATACAAAAATGTAAAAAGCGAAATCTTACCTATGAAATGTTGTGCATATATGCTCTGTTTTCTTTGTTTGCTTGTTACTACACCCACACACAGCGCAAAGGTCCAGCATCTTTACATTGGTTTTAGTCTTGACTAGCCCGGTTTAATGATGTTGTTCTGGGAGCACTGTACAAATGTGGTGGCACTATTGACACATGTTCTAGGTTCGTATGCGAAATCTAATCTATACATCTATGGACTATGCATATTTTAACTATGTAATTGAAAACATCTAAACTTTTCTGAATGCCACGTGTGCACTGCGATTCACGCAAGTAGAACTAACCAATCTGCTTCACACTTTGTGTAGAATATACACATTTCAGTAATTAATTAATTAATTTCAGATTAATTACCTCAAACACAGTGCATCACATCCTCTGAAAAAAAACACTTGATGGTCGATTAGTTACGAGAGACGATATAGGAGCGTGAGCAAAATCCATTGTAAACAGTCAAGGAATCTATACGGCACGCTTGTCACTTCAATTCAATTCACCTTTGATTCACATTGTATAGCGCTTTTACAATGTAAACTGTGTCAAAGCAGCTTCACATAGAAGATCATAGTAAATTGAAATGGTGTCAGTTCAGTTTTCAGAGTTTAAGTTCAGTTCAGTTTAGCTAAGTTAAGTGTGGTTTAAAAATGACTAATGAGAGTCCAAACACTGAAGAGCAGTCTACCGATGTGCAGCTCTACAGATCCCGCGGCAGGGAAAAAAACTTCACCAATTGGAGAAAGTGAAGAATTAAAAAACCTCAAGAGAAACCAGGCTCAGTTGGGCATGACTATATCTCCTCTGGCCAAACGTCTTATGCAGAGTTGCAGTCTTGCGCCAGAGGACATAATAACAACACATACAAAAATTAGTGATGTATAGTAGCAGTAAGAAGATTGTAAATAAAAAAAAGGATGTAAGGATGTTGCCAGAGTGGCTTGTTGGTTTCTTTTCTTGTGCATCCCAGCCACTAGCTCCCCATCTGAAAGATTTTTTTAGCATAGGGGGTAATGTAGTCATTCAACTTTTTGTAATGTTGCAGTATGTGTTTGAACAACCATGGTTAGTTGCTTACTTGAAAGCTCATATTTGTTTATCATAATTTGTGTTGTTGACAGAGTTTGAATTTACTGTATCATTATTATTGACTCTTAAAGTTTGATTTAATTGTTCAGTATTTATGCTTTATCATTGCACACACTTTGTAACATTTTTATTAACAAGTTTAAGAGTCTCTTTAACACTTATGTTTATTTTATCAGATATTTTATTTTAATATTTTTGTTTTTGACTATTAAAACTATCCATCCTATGAGTATATTTTGTGATTAATATTAATATTGAGAACTGCTGCAGAAATATATTTGGATACAATGCACATTAAAAATACTGTTTTACAGTTATTACAATGTCATTGAAAATGGATCAGACTTTTGACACAAATCTTGCTGACTCTACGACCCAGACTTTCAAAGATTTATCGGGAAAGCTTGAATCATCTGTAAGTATTCCATATTTGTTTTATTTCTTATTTATTTCTTATATATTTGTTCTTTTTTTGTGAAAAAATAGTTCTAAAAAAATAATATGGTAATATATATAATACATATTTTCTTTTTACAGATTGACTCAAGTTATTCTTCTAATTTAAAAGGCTACGTTAGTAAGTCTGTGAAGGTTAATGCCTATAGGTATGATTTACCTTTACCATTTTCCTATTTTTCCAAGCATTGTTTCCTATTTACTTTCTATCAAATATAGTGTCTTGTGTTTTGTGTTTCCTCCACAGGCCTGGTAGTGTATTTGCAGACTACACAATAAGTGCAACATCTAGTAACCTTGATTTTTCATCAGCAAACGCAGCTCTTTCCAGCTCACTACAGGCACAAGGAATAATTTTAGCTGCAGATGCTTTTGCTCAAAGTGGTAAGGATATTCCCTGCCTAATTTTAAACCCCTCACATGTCTTGAATGCATCCTGTTTATTATGTTATATGGGTTTAGTTTGTTGTAAGATGAAGTGAACTTTATGTTTTTTATGTTCAGATCAAAAAGACTTCATAACGGGTCAAGTTTATCCTCAGCAAAAGCTGGAGCTAATATGTACACAGCCGGACTTTGCACAAGGACAAATAACATGGAAAGTGAATAACAAAGATCCTGACAAAAATCAGTACTCACTTTCAAGCGACAACCGCACTCTCACAGCGAACAGTGTTACTGAAAGTAACAGTGGTGAGTGACATGACTTTTATCTTTGTTTTATTTTTCACATTTTACATGGCACTAATTTAAAAGCAGAGTACTCACTGTAAAAAGTGATTAGTTGACTTTACTTAAATTAAATAATCCTAACCCAAAAGTTTTGTAAGTAAAAGAACTGTGCAAACTCACAAAATTAAGTCAGCTTAACAGTCCAATGTTACAATAGGTGTGCTCACCTTTTTTGTAAAGTGACTAATGACTTTTACAGTGGTGTAAAACTGTGCCAAAGTTTGAATTTTGTGTCACTATATTGATCTACACCTGCATATTTCGATACAATGTGGTGTGAATGTACAATACGAAGTAAAAATGGCATGGCTGATAAAATCATTCAAAAAGTACTTATAATGGACTAATGTAAAATCATTTACTCATTTATAAAATATTAGAGCAATAAAAAGTATAGTTATTCCATCCTAAGAAACATATTTCAATAAAGGAAGTATAAAGTATAATAATTCTGTATTCATTTTTTTGTGCTTCTGCAGGTCAATATTCATGCATCACACAAAGGACCACAATACCTTACATTCAGTGGCAAAACATTGCTGTTAAACAACTTCCCAATATCAATGTGGGTAATAATTACCGTGTTGTTCAATGTCCTGGGAGCAGCGTCTTGAAATGTTCTGTTGATGCTGGCTACAGTATTGAGTGGGTCCAGGGTGAAACAGTACAAGTTTCAGGTTGTTCATTCAAGTCATTGTTTTTCAAAATTTAGAAAGGGTTAATTCACCCAAAAATGATTTAGTCAATTATTCTCTCTTCACTTGTTCCAAACATGATTAAGTTTCTTACTTCTGTCAAAGAGCATAGAATCACCAAAAGGCGACACTCTAGTGTGATTTGGGAAAAACTCCAATAGAACAACAGCATATTATAAGTCAGTAAAACAGACTATTAAAAGTGCTGATGATTGTGATAGTAAGTGTTGTATTGTCATCTTTCAGGTTGTATCTTAGCTTTAATGCACTTTTTAAATAAATAAATAAATAAAAAACAAAGCAGCTGCTCGCCATCGCGACAGCAATAAGATTTAATGGACAGCTGATCGATTTCATTTCAAAATGGCGGAACTCAGTACTGTTGCTTGGCGCTGCTGTTGCAATGGAACATTCTATTGAGTGTCGCCTCTTGGTCATTCTATGCTCTTTGCTTCTGTTGAACACAAAGAAGGATCTTTTGAATAATGCTGTTAACTGGTGGACAGTTTGATGGACAGTTGCTGCCAGTGTCCAATATTCTACCAAATATTTTCTTTTGAGTTCAACATATGAGAAAACTCATTAAGGTAATCACTTGGTGAGAGTGCATTTCATTTCTGGGTGACCTATAAACCTTCATGTTTTGAATTATCATTTGAAAATCGATCATGTTTTTTAGTATTTATTTTTTTTTTTTTTACAGAATCTGCAGCAGACGGTATCACATTAAACTACGCAAGTCAAATTGGAAATTGTACGCAGGAGCAAACCTTTACATGTCGTCTCAAGGGTCTGCCAGCACTACTCATATACGGTTATAGCCAGAGCAGTGTCATAGTGAAGAATACTGATCAACGTAAGTCTTCATTTTTTTACCCTTTACAGCATTAAATAGCTTTTTACTCTTGTGCAGTTACTATTCATCTAGACCCCATGCAAATATTCAATTTGAGTTATTGGTGTATTTTTTATTTAAAATATTTATAAGGAGTTGCCATCCTTGGATCGTTTTGTTTTTATTCTTAACCAGCGTGGTAACTTCTTTGAAGCTATCATATGTTGTAAAATCTGACTCCTTTTCAGCCCTGGACACACTACTTACACTGTTTATAAAATGGCGTAGAATAGTGCATAAGTATGCGATTTGGGACGCAGCTAAAGGAAAGCTAGGTGATGTTAGTGAGACCAGCAGGGCTCAACCTGCAGTCTGTGTCGGTCCTAGTGCCCCAGTATAGTGAAGGGGACTTCATGCTGCTCAGTGAGCACTGTATTTTGGATAAGACATAAAACGGAGATCCCGACTCTCTGTGGTCTTTAAAAACTGTTTAACCCCAGCGTCCTGGCCAAATTTGCCCACTTGCCTTTTGGCCTCCTAACCATCCCCATGTCATAATTGGCTTCTCCTCTCCACCAATCAGCTGATGTGTGGTGCACATTCTGGTGCAATATGGCTGCAGTCGCATCATCTAAGTGGATGCTACACATTGGAGGAGGAGGAGGAGGAGATTCCCCTTAAAAATGTATTTTGAGTGTCCAGAAAACCACTATATAAATTTAGGGAATCATTATTGTTATTATTGTATATTAATGCACATTTTGGCCAGATTTGTTTTTCAAATGATGAAGCACACCTTCTGGTTTTGATTGCTTTAATTTATTTTTTAATTTGGCCATAGTTGCTATTTCTGTTTCTTCTGTGCAATGCACGTTTTTGCTTCTGTCTGAACATGATTATCAAATACTCTTCCAGAATATGACTGTCAAAATGAAGAACTTGGACTTGGAAATCAAAATGAACAGAGGAATGGAATCTGTCCAACTGGCACAAAAGGCATCATAACTTATGAATGTGATTCAAAGGCCTGGAGACCAATAAAAGAAAACTGTATACTTGGGGTTATCAGTGATTTACTTACTCAAATTCCGGTAATCAGTTGATCATGTATTTACAATCATATATCCACTTGGCTCCATATTATTTCAACATTTATATTTTGCACTTTGTCATTTAGGTATTGCAAGTGGGACAGATTCCAAGTTTCCTGTCTAACCTCAGTTTCGCCACAGAGCAGAATAATATTAATATAACTCAGTCTGCTGCTACTGTCAAAGCAATTGTGGATATACTTTCACAAATTGCTAATCTGGCACAAACAGCACTCATCGGTCCGCCAGTGATGAACGTATGTATATTCACTTTTGATTCTACAATTATATCTGTAGATGTTTTTCATGCTTTATGTATTGAAGTGAATTTTTATTTAGATATCTAATTAAGATATGCTAGAGCTGATTTAGTGGGCATAGTGGTGTTGTGCAAAGTTACTCTCACTACCATCATGAATTAAACTGATTCATATAGCATATATTATCATACCCTATTTTATTAGTCTTATATCAGTATCCAAATGACTTCATAAACTTATTTTCCATCTATTTATCCTTCTCATACCAGAGTTTCCTAAAAACATTGGACATCATTGTGTCAACTAATAGCACTGAGACATGGAACACTCTGAACAACGACAACACCACAGAAAACACCAACATTAAACTTCTGAAAGCCACTGAAACTATAAGTGACCGTCTCATAGATCAGTTTACGGTCAATCTAACATCCATTCAGCTGAGCAGAACTACAGTAAATAGCTCATTGAGTGTAACATCAACACTGTCAAACTCAACTACTGAGATTGTGATACCACAGGTTTTTGGGCCGACTACAGCAACGATCATAATCTTCACAACTCTTGACAATATCCTTCCAACCCGTAATATTTCTAATAATAACAGCAGTGACATATCAGATCAGCGTATCAATGGAGATGTGGTTGTTGTTAAAGTTGATAAAACAGTTAACAACATATCTTTTGCATTTGACATTACTAATCAGTCTTTGGGAAATCCTCAGTGTGTCTTTTGGAACTTTAACCTCAGCGCATGGGATTCCACTGGATGTGAAGTAAAGCAAGTAGGAAATGACTCTGGCATAATTACATGTGAATGCAACCACACAACCTCTTTTTCAATTCTAATGTCACCTTTTATCCTTGACAGTTTAATCTTAGCCTATATAACTTACATTGGCGTAACAATTTCAATGATCAGCTTGGTTTTATGCCTTATAATTGAAGCTATCGTTTGGAGATCAGTGACATCAGCCAGAGGTGTTACAGTTGTAAGCTCCTACATGCGACATATCTCCTTAGTCAACATTGCCCTCTCTCTGCTCATCGCAAACGTCTGTTTTATCATTGGAGCTGCAATCTCAGACCTAGAAAAGCCAACCCCCGTGGGTCGCTGCAGTCCAGTGGTTTTCTTCATACACTTTTTTTACCTCGCTGTTTTCTTCTGGATGTTAATTTCAGGGATGCTGCTCTTATACATGACAGTCATGGTATTTGGCCAAATGTCAAGGATCAAAATGATAGCCATTTCCTTCCCTGTCGGTTATGGCGCACCTTTGCTCATAGCATCCATTACTGTTGCATCAACAGCTGGACCTCAGAATTATGTTTCCAAACAAGCATGCTGGCTGAACTGGAATGAATCCAGGGCTCTGCTGGCATTTGTGATTCCAGCTCTCACTATTGTAGCCATAAACCTTGTGGTTTTGGTTGTGGTTCTGTACAAGATGTTAGGTACTGGAGTTGGTGCCGCAACTCAACCAAGTGAGAAAAATACCTTTTTTGTCGTTGTCCGATGTGTGGCCTTTTTGACTCCTCTTTTTGGTCTAACATGGGGATTTGGAATTGGAACCATGCTGTCAAGTGCATTAGGCGTCCATGTGTTGTTTACACTCCTCAATGCATTCCAGGTATCTTTATCCGTCTCTATAAAAAAACATTTTATAACAAGCTTAGAATTTGTGTAATGTATTGATTGTGGGCCAGATTTACAAACTGCTTGTGTTAATGCAAACCCACTGTTGGCAATAAAAACGACTCAGCAATTACTGAAGACACATAGTGAAACAGTGCTGAAAACATATGGACATGGCACTTTTGATTTACTAAGGTTTGTGATAGTCATTTTAACTTAAAAAGCATGTTAAAGCTTATTCTGAACCTGAATTCTAGTAAATGGCATGCACTTTATAATGGTCGGCTCTGCTTCTTGTTACCTACTGTAATCTACTCAGGTTTATGCACTATTAGACATTATGAAAATGCATTGCACTCTAATTTGGCTTGTTTTGTAAATCTGGCCCCGAATGTCAATTTTCTGAATTTAAAATTGTGCAATCAATTCAAAATGGCAACAGATAACCATGTTTATGTACATTTTCCTTTAATAGGGATTCTTTATTTTGCTGTTTGGAACCATTTTAGACGCCAAGGTATGGGTTTACATCTTTTATTTTGTAAAGAGCTTTATTTAAAAGCCATTTATCTTTGTGATTTTGCATTTAAAGCAAAGATCTGCTATCATATGCTTTACATTAAGCCACACATTACAAAACAACAAACAGCAGCACAAACAATTAACAGCACATCCCCCTGCAGGGCTTTTTTACAGAAATTTATTATATATTTTCCTGCTTTTTACAAGGCTCCCACCAAACATGTGAACATACAATACTGAATATTGAGCATTTTTATCATTATTATGATAAGGAAGTGGTGGAAGTGGTGTTAGTGAGGCCAGCAGGGGGCGCTTAACCAGTAGTCTGTGTGAGTCCTAATGCCCCAGTAAAAGTGAAGGGGACACTACACTGTCAGTGGGCGCCGTCTTTCGGGTGAGAGGTTAAACCGAGGTCCTGACTCTCTGTGGTCATTAAAAATCCTAGTACACTGGTGGTGATGTAGAGAGATTCACTCTCATGATTGTGAAGCGCTTTGAGTGTATGGCCATACACAATAAATGCGCTATATAAATACACATTACATTACATTACATAAGATAAATAACCACTTACATTTGGCCAAGCAGTAATAAAGACACCGCAACAAGAGCATGGCCATTTTTATAATAATGCCAATCTTGGATTGCAGGTTCGAGAGGCATTACGAGGAAAACTGCAAATAGATAAACTCGCTTCCCGAATTACCCAGGTAAATTCCATTCTGTAACGACACACATGCTTATCTGAAAGACTTTAATTATTAATATTAAACCAATGCTTAAAGATTTTACACTGACTTTTACAATTATGCTGATTTTGATTGATTATCTCCTTACAGAGCACCAGTGGAGGAGCATCATCTTCAGCTGGACAAAGGGGACCACGGAGGAGTAAGATAACATAAATCCATAAAGATATTTTCTGGAACATGAATCATTAATATAGTTTTGCATTTGGCTAAATTAATTAATGTGAAGACATTAGACAGTGTAAATTTCTGTGAATAACGTGTGTAATTATTTGCAGATGTCTACAATGTGTCGGATCCCAACAATACCTCGAGATTTACTTCAGAGGGCGTGAGCGGCTCATATTCAGCTGTAGACACCTAAAGGACATCAGTTTGTTACTGTTTTTTTTTTGTTACAGTTTCTGTTACTGTTTTGTGTGATGATTAGTCTGAAAATAAGCTCACAGTATGATTTGTTCTTTAATATATTTTGAGTTCTGTGATTAAGGACTGCAAATTATACTTTTTTGTGCTAAAAATGCAAGTGCTCTTCTAAAAATCGCTTAGATGTAAGCTCTTCTCCAACTCTAAAAGCTTCTAAAATAGTGCTCAGCACAGAGCATAATATGTAACGGCAATGGCACTACCGGCATTTTTTAAGAATGCAGCACTTCTAGGGCTGTGCAATATGACAATATATTAAATAAGCATGGGACGATGACCCTTTTTAAGGTATATGTAAGGTTTTTTTTTTTTTACTTTTTTTTTTATCTCCAGCAGAAGAGATATCCAAAGATGTCATTTAAATTGGAAAGAAGCTTTTGAAGCTAATGTAGACAGCAGAAGTAAATGATTGATTTGAATTATTTAGCTTGACATGTTTACTGTTCCAAAATATTTTAAATGTTTCTTAAAATAAAATATATTGTCTTAAAAGGGGAAAAAGTTATTTTTTTTTACCCTAGACATTTAAACATATATATATATATACTTTTTAAATGTTGCAGTAATCAGATCATAGCAGTAATCACAATACCATAAAACCGTGATATTTTTATAGGTTACCGTCAGAATCTTATACCGGCCCACAACATATAATCGTAAGGACATTATAAAAAGTCTATGGTTTCATATTTTGCTCTATAGTTTATACATTGTAATGAAATATACAGTGTTTACTATAATACTTTGACAACTTAATGTATATTAGCACAATATCACACACTATTACAGGAATGTAGACAGAAACTGCAAGAAAGCTGTAATCTTGAAAGAATTATTTTTACATTTTGTATTTTATTTAGCAAAATGTTATGTTGGGCCCGTAATCATTCGTTTTTGAAAACTGTTTTATATTGAATGAATATTTATTTTATATTTTTACTATATATATAATATCTATAATATCTATAATATTTTATTAATGATCATTTAATCTATATCTAGCATAAAATTTAAAATGTAAATGTAAAAAAAAGGTCAATGTATATAATGAATGAATGAATGTATATAACTAATGAATAATTGAATTTAAAGAAAATGTACTATTTCTCTATGCATATTATTTATCAATGGAGCTGCAATTTTACACAAAAGTTCAGAAATAATGCTTCATTGGACAGAGGCCTTTTGTTTTCTTTAAATCAGAATTATTTTCCCGTTGGCTACATCTTGGTTTTCTTCTTTGTTATAATTAATTTCAAATGCTACTGTGAAACTGTCAATTATTGAATGCTTTTGCATTTCCTTAAAGGCGCAATATGTAGTTTTCACCACTAGAGGGTGTTCACATCAAATGAAGGCTGTGTGTGGTATCATGGGAGTTGTGGTCTTCATTAAGTTCCACAGGACTGCTGCTGAAATCATGTTCGTGGATGAGCTGAAGTATTTAATATTTATTCTCATGGTGAAACAGAGAGTTGAAGGTTGACAGAACAGAAGACAGAGGCAAAATGAGACTCAAGCAACTGCTGATGAGAGATGAGCATGATGTGGTGTGAAAGCAGCTGAGCTTTTATTATGCCAAAGTCAACCTGTTAATTGCACTCCAATAAAATTCTAAATACTTTATTTTTGGTGTTTTCCTATTTCATATAAAAGAGATGTCATTAACACAGAATCACAGGACACAGTCCATATCAGTAATTAAAAATACTTATTTCTTTGGATAGTATGATTCTTCAAAACATTTGGTATAATATAAGTACATAAGTCAACAAAATACATAAGACTATTCAAGGGATTTTTGGCTATTTTAATGATGAAAAAACATATTGTGCCTTTAAGTAAGTTTTTTATTTTTTCTGTGTTTCCTGTTTACTGTTTTTTTTTTCTATTGCTGGATCAATTCAATTGTCCGGTTGAAAGCAAACAATTTAAGCACTTGTATACATTTGACATGCCTTTTTCTGCAACAATTGCTTTCCAATAAGCAATGACGTCATTTATACAATATATGATTTTGACATAATTGATATAATGTATTATTTTGAATGACATGATTACTTTTTATTATTACCATTCTTCAATTTGAAAAAAGTTTTTTGGTGCATCTTTTAGGCCTTTAGGCCTGCATGATTTCGTGCTGCCATCTGTAATCGAACTCTTATAATCTCACTGGTCTCGAGTCTTATTGAAGAATAAAAGAAGAAGGGGCTACAGAGGAAGACGAGAAAGGACCAGGCCTGGATAGTTTATGTTTGTCATACTTTCTGTTCCCCCAATGAGTTTACCAGTTGTTTTATGTATATTTTCATTATTAAAATTATTTAAAGTTATTCAGTTCTCCGCCTCCTCCTTCTCGATGGCCAGAGAGCCGTCAACCCTAGCTACAGCAGCATTAAAGACTCTTACATTGTGTTCTAAACATGACTGGTTTTGCTTGGCTTACCCTAAACAACTAAGGTGTTGAGTTGTCCTAAGACAGAAATTGAAGATGTTATTTTACAACAGACAGTTGTCAAGGACCACAAATGTATATGTGTACTTGAGTGGATCGCAGCCTCAGACATCAAGCCAAGGACCATCTACGGACCTGTGGCTAAACAACTGATGCATATGGAACACTTTCTGTAAATGCTTTAGCAGATCCTCAAATTGTTCTCTGATTGGTTTAAATAAAGAATTCCAGGAGTTAAGTGTGGAGCAATCTTATGAAAACAAGTCTGATCAGATAAAAAAGCTGCGATGTTTACTTAGTCTGCTTCTATGCAAGCGCTTGTGATTTCTTTTACATTTTACTGACAGATCTTTAAGGATATTAATAAGTGGTCATTGTAAACTTTAACAAACATTGATAAATGCAATCAGTTGAGTGCTATTATTATGGGAACTTTTCCACACCCCTAAACATGAAGCAGCACAAAACGAAAAGTGATTGATGGGTAACCTCTCAGGCAAATGGTCTTTGACCATTCAAAGTGGCCAAAGTTCCAGAAGTCTGGCTACACGGGAATAACGTGGACTTAACTAGGAATCCATTTCTAGAGCTTCGCGATAAAATAAATTCAGTGACCCATTCAATCATTTTCTTTTCAGCTAAGTCACTTTTTTTAATCTGGGGTCGCCACAGGGGAATGAACAGACAACGTATCCAGCACATGTTTTATGCAGCATGCCCTTCCAGTTGCAACCCATCATTGGGAAACATCCATACACACTCATTTACAGACATACACTATGGACAATTTAGCCTACCCAATTTACCTACTGTATAGCGCATGTGTTTGGACTGGAAACCAGAGCACCCGAAGAAAATCCATGCAAACAGAAAGAATATTTCAACTCCACACAGAAATGCCAACTGACCCAGCCGAGGTTCGAACCAGCCATCTTCTTGCTGTGAGGTGAACCCACTGTGCTACCGTGACGCAAGTTCAGTGATTACAACTTTTAAATAGCTTGTACTGTTTTCTATTGCAGATGCAACCACAAACAATCCTTTATTCATTGATTTTCTTTTTGGCTTAGTCCATTTATTAATCTGGGGTCGTCACAGCGGAATGACCACCAACTTATACAGCATATGTTTTACACAGCGCCCCTTCTGGCCCTTCCAGCCAGAAAACATCCATACACACTCATTCACACACACACTCATACACTATGTTAAATTTTAGCTTTCCCAATTCACCTATATCTCATGTCTTTGGACTGTGGGGGGAACCGGAGCACCTGGAGATTGCAAATTTTCTCGCATAATATCACAAATACGCTGTTTACACTCAAATTATCTAGCTTGCTCACAAATGTTCTCGCTAGCTCTTAAATTTACGCTGCTTTGAGAGTGCGTGAGAAAAATTGCAAGAGAGCAGCATTAGGAAGCTTGAGATGAAATAACATGCCTTTTGTGTAATCTTTTTAATTCTGCAACTGGTTCACGAACTTTCACTTGTTGCCGCTGTATTTTTCCCCCATGTTTTTTTTTTCTCAATACTAATTATTTTTCACAAAAATAGTGACTAGCAGGGAAAAATCAAATTGCTATCAAGTTTTGACTTATGAGCCTTTTGGTATGAAGTAAGACATTGGAAGTGATTTTAACTGACATACGTCATTGAGAAGCATAGTAAAGGTACAATAAACTACAAATGTCTAAAAAATATACTTTCACAAACAGCTAAACATTTTGAAGTTAAAGGAAATCATGAAATCACATTAAACTAATTAACAATATTTCAAGTTGGACAAACCAACCAGTAATTAGTGGTTTAAATACAGCAATTTGAGTCATTAAAAATTAAAATAGCCTGATGAAAAAATATTAATTTAATGTAATAGCGATAGATAGATAGATAGATAGATAGATAGATAGATAGATAGATAGATAGATAGATAGCATTAAAAACTGTGAAATAGAGACATTAATACACATTTAATGCGGATTACTTTTCAAATCAGCAAAAATATTTGTATTATATTACCAAAATGTGTCCATAAAACTATCAAAACAGCCTACTTTACAAGAAAGAAAATTCATACACAATAAAGAGTTTGTAATCATACATAAGAGCTGTGTGGGTCGGTTACATAAATGTACTTTGGACATGAGTTTAATGTTTTTCTGAAAGAAAATACATGTGCACAACCACCAACATGTACACAAAATATACTGTTAACCCCGGTGTTCAGATCCCTCCAGTATTTTCATGCATATTAAAAGAAGAGTATGAATCATTACTAGTTTTCCTCCATTTATATTAATTAGTAGAAGAAAAAAAAACTAAAAATCAGGCAGCTTTATTTGGATTTGTGATTTCTTATTTTTTTGTTTGCAATTAGTACCAAATAAACTCTGACATGGTATATACATATTTATTTACTAGAAATTATTCAACCAGGGCCATAACCGGACAATAAACCAAGACACTTGACAATAATGTTTCAACCAGGAGGGGGCGCCATTGACTAAGAAACCAACTTAATATTGGCACAAAATATTTTGAGTAAGCGGCTGAATATATTAAGGAAGTTTACCATCATTATTAGAATGACAGTGTACATTGTAAAAGCGATAAATAAAAATGAACTGAATGAAATTATACTAGGCCCAAATATGTCCAGAACACAATTAAGTTTCAGCACTTTCCATTTAAATGTACTGCTTATGGTCTCCTATATATATTTGGATAAGAATATTTTTGTTCTAATGATTCAATACTATGGATGCTGTCCATCTGAACATTTTAATCCTGCACAAAAATGTCTTTAGTTTAATGCCACCAACAACACGGAACCACCATCAACATATTGAGATAATTGCCATCGACTTAACCATTATTAAAAGAAGCACCATCGAAAACAAACGAATACAGCCTGTTACCTAGCACAACAATGGTGATGATAGGCCCACTAGCAGGTCTAGAAAAGTGGGTTATATTTGTTTTTTCACCAAATAATCAAATATCGCCCAAAAATGACAAAAAAAGCCACCATTTACTCACCCTGTTGTTATTGTTCTAATGTCCTCTTCTTTCTTTTGCCGCAATATCTAATGGGAGAGAATAGCAATTAGCATGTGCTTTTGAAATATACATGATATATGTATAATGTGTTTTTCAATGCAAATATCAGTTTATTCCGTGGAAAGGCATAATTTGATTGGAGATTTTACCCCTGCTGTTTGATTGTGCAAAATCAAAACAACCCTCCTTAAAAAAGACGACCCTAATGAATAATAAATCATATGATTTTTGAACAACACTATAGTAGGCTACATAAAAAAAACTCAATTGCTGTTGTAGTAGGCCTAGTTGCATATTACAAGTCCCTTAGGCGTAGTCTTTAAGTGCACTTAACCACAATCCAGTTTACTATTCTAAAAAAAAATAGAGCAATCTGCTGTACATTGAACTCGTGTAAAATAAAATTCATAAAACGTTAAATAAAAAATAATCAATGTTCATATTCATAATTTTATATTGTGTGCTAAAGAGTACAAGGCAAAACGTCCTAACAAGTTACCTGTTTTGCAATGAGTTACCTGTTCATTACACGAATCCATACGCGCGACTTTGTTCTCGTTTTCGCGACAAAGCGCGCGTCAGGTTGTGTTTTGCGTGTTTGTTGATTTTTTTTTTACGCATTCATGTACACATACGTTTTGTAAACTACCAAAATTAAAAACAAACACACGATAAAACTACATCCCACCATAATAAGGACAGCAGTGCGGCCTTGTTTTTTTTCTTAGATAAGTTTCTCAGATAAGCTGGAAGTTGGAGCAAGTTTATCAAGCCATGAATACTTGAAAATATACGGGCATGTAAAAAGCTAAACTGTTAGCAATGTTCACTGCCATTATGGACCCCTGCAAGTAATTAAAAAACATATCTTATTGCGCGTGTAGGTGTATATGGGCGTGTTTCTTATAAACAAACAAAAAGTAGCGTTATTCGTATTTTGGGCCAACTAATATTTATAAATGTGGGGTCAGTGTCATCGAATAGCAGAAGACCTAATGCTGACAGCCTGGTATGTACCCGTCATACGGCTGTATGCTTACAATGCAGCATTCTTTAGCTTTTGCCTGCGGGGAAAAACAAAATGCTCAACAAAGCGTGCTTGGCTCAAGTTCAGATGAAGCAGTTTCATTGAGTTTGACGAGATAAATAGATCATATTTCCTTTCAGGTGTTATGTGAATACTTCACAAGTGGGCTCTGTAATGAAACGTAAGCTCAACATGCACATTTGATGTATTGTTGGTTAATAATAGTAGCAGCTTTGCAGGTTTCCTTACATGGTTGGTCCCATCTCAGCATATCCCTTTACCAAACAGAAGAGGCCCTCATCATCGTCTGAAAACTAACTTCTCTGGACTAGACCACGTGCCTGGTGCTGATTACTTGGCGCTTGGCACCTGTTGGAGGTATGTATGTACCACACGCGGTAAACACACGCACTGGCTCATATCAAAATATTGTGGTCTTGCTTTCCCTTACGGACATTTCTTGTATTATTACTGTAGGTCTGTGTTAGCGGTGCCCACTTCTTTGTTTGTGATGCTGCCTGCACATACATTAGCCTGGAATCTTGCCTGTAAATATCCCCAGTGTTCCCTGAGCAATGCCTGGATGCTTTCCATACTAAATCATACTGCATAGTAAGTGTTTCTGTAATTTAGTGTGTCACTCTGCTGCATGTAAATAAAAGCTTGCAAATGGACCCTCAACCCCCAGAGTCATCATTCTTACAGTTGGTGGACCAATACTAGTATTTACTCCCTTTGGCTGTCATTAGTATTGAGGTAAAATTGGTTTTATATTGGCAAATTCATT